CTGTGGGGTACGAACGGGTACTATGCGCCTCCAATAGCCTCTAATACCCAACTCCGACTTTCCACCTTCACGAAGCTTATGCGGGTGTACCCTGTTAACTAACAAACGGAAAGAGGGGTATGGAGGGACAGGAGCTGGACCTGACACCTCCTAATCCTAAACCCAACACCTACCCCTCTTCCCACCCCACACCTTATCCTGGTCCCACTCTCCAGCCCAAATCCAAGGTGTTATGCGATCCGTGCCGATGGATGAATGGCACAGGGGTAACTGTGCCAATAACGGAGCCTCAAGGGCACCAGGCGACACCCTTGAGTAATTAGCCTTACACCGGAGAGAGGGCTCCTCCGGTGCGGACCTTTAGATCCCTCTCACTCGTGGGAACTACATGGAAAAACCTACAGTACAAAACAAAACACCGGGGGAACCTGTAAAGGAAGACCCCAAAAACCAACCGATGGAAATTGAAGGGGGCCCCGAACCCTCTCCAATTCCCATAAACGAAGAGNGAACTGGGAAGGTACAATAAGCCAGAAGGCTGCAGTGCCCGGGGAGTGCAAACCCCGCTTCCTAGTATCCTTTTCTACCATACCATACCATACCATACCTTAACTGTTTTATCATTGGCCGAAAGAATGTTTATTTGACGAATCTTTATTAAATCGCTGTTCAGTGTTTTAAACTTTATGAGATTTCTATCGGGTTTTGAATTTATCCTTAGGAGCTGGAAATTTCCTCATCCTATCCAGTAGCGCGTTTATTAGTTAAGGAAAGATTGCGAGCTTTTCCGCTTCAGGTGAGCGAAAGCGTTTTGAATATTTTAAGAGAAGAGGAGAGAAAAGGTGATTAAAAAACTTTTCCCTTAAACTCTTACACTGAGGGTCAGTCAATAGGACAATAATATTGAAAAAAAAATTGTTTAAGAATAAAGCGTTTTTCAAGGAACGAAAGACCAAAACATATTAAATATTTAGTAATTATGAAAGATGGATTTTCATTATGAAACAATTCAAGATCAAGACTGTTTCAATAACCCATTGGTTGAATTTAAAAGAACGCTCCGTTGTTTTATTAATTTCCTGTTTTCTGCAATAGCAGACTTCCAATTAAAACCGCTAATTGGTAGCTTTATCTCGTACTTTCATGAAGTGGAAGCTAACAAACGGACTAGGCTGAATTTATATAAAACACCTTGGTCATCACTTAACCCGGAGATCTGTCTGCTTAATATTATTTTCAATTATTTAGAATTTTTCATAAATTTGATTTAATGCAACGTTTGTTAAAAAAAACTTCAATGTGACTCAAATAAACTTAAGAGACGAGACGGCAAAACAACCCCGGAAGAGTTCAAAAAGGCTTTTCTTGATGAATGGGAAAAAATTTCCTCTGGATTTTACCAGAAATCATTTCGAAGGAATGTAAAGGCATTTAACGGACGTGATTCGTGCCAGAGGTGGAAATATTCTGTAATAAAAATGACAAAAATGTGTTGTTGTTTTTATTTTGTTGTTCTTTACACAATTTTTTTTTTTTTTTTAGAATTAGGTAATAACCATTTTATTTTTAAATGTCTTAGTTTTACAACCAACCTTTTTTGGTATGCATAATATGAATAAACCTAAACATTAAAATTTAAGGGTGGGGCGTTCATTTTGTTTTTTGCTGTACTATGTATTTACTACACCTCTACAAATAGAGGTTAAGGTAAGAGCACTAACCAGCTGTTATAGATTAATTAGTGAAGGCAGCTGGAACCATAAGGGAAATTATATAGGTCACTCGAAAATTCTACATTTATTGAGTAAGGTCAACAACCAACTACTAAGCGTTAGCGATAAAAAGGTAAAAACACCTGAGGGGAAAAGCACTTTCAGGTAGTTACTCCCTGCGATTACAGCTATAGTGCGGATGATGACCATCGTAGCCTAGACTGCTTCACCGATGGATCACTCATTAAGGACAAGGGAAGCGGTACTAGAATACATATACCTAAATTAGTGATCAGCATCTCCTCCCCTCTTGGTAATAACACCTCGGTCTTTCAGGCGGACGTCTGGGCCATCAATGTTTGCTGCAGAACACTCATGGATAACAAGATCAAGGGAAAAGATATAAGAATCTTTTCGGACAGTCAGGCCAGTCTTAAGTCACTACAAAAAGAGTTATCAACATCTAGGCTGGTGGAGGAAACCGTTGAACTTATTAACAGGATTACTACCAGGGACGAGAATATGGTAACCCTCATATGGATACCAGCTCATAAGGGGCACTATGGCAATGAAGAGGCGGACAGCATGGCCAAAGAAGGCTCAAATACCGCGTTTGTCGGGCCATAACCGGTATTACCTCACTCTATAAGCCAGCGAAAGAGATTATTAATTGCTGGGGCATGAAACAATTCCTGAAAGAATGGAATCTGTCCCCCGGACATAGGCAATCGAAGGAGTTTCTGAAGGAAATCAAACCAAAAGAAGCGAAATGGTTATTCTCTAACTCAAGGAGGAGAATTAGGAAGCTGATAGGTATCCTAACGGGCCATTGCCCCTTGAGAAGACACTCTTCATAATGGGTATCCTACCTCGCAGAATGTGATAGATATGCCAGGGATGATTTGAAACTTTTGAAGGAGAGGACATTGACAAATCACTCCCCAAGATAAAATGGTCCAAAATCTTGGTGTTTGTAAACAGGACCAAGAGGTTTATGCAGGACTCGTGAGCCGACCAAGTCCCGGACCTTTTAGGGATGGGGTACGGGCCTACCTAGGCTTTTAACCCCTCGGGTCTTGGTCGCCCACCCTGCATAATATATATGTATTTACTACTATTTGGTAGTTAATAATTATGTATATTATTTCTATGAGATTGTTATTATCTGATAATTCATAGCTGACTGTATATCTGATGTAGGTTACATTAGGTACATTTTCAATGTCGTCACTCTTCATGAGGCGAGGGAGAGGAGAGAGAGAGAGAGAGAGAGAGAGAGAGAGAGAGTGAGAGAGAGAGAGATAGGAAGAGGGAGAGAGCGAGCGAGAGAGAGTGATAGGAAGAGGGAGAGAGCGAGCGAGAGAAAGAGAGAGAGAGAGTTAACTACAGTTCTGAATCTTCGGTTCATTTTATGGACTATGGAATTATAAACGAGAATAATGGTTAAATAAGTTGTGCAATTGCAACATTCGGTCAGTAACTTGCTGGCTATTAAGGGAATATAGGTTGAAGGGAGATACTCAGATAATCAAGCGGAGCAACTTTCAGTGGATTCACAAAGAACAAAATACTTCCCTAAACAATTTTACAATAAACACTGACTCTAGGGGGGCGTCGGTGGCCGCAACAGTAGGCGTTGACACGGCGCTCATTCCTATAAGGTAAAGGTCTCGGGTTCGAATCCAGCGGCCCTGCATTCAATGGGGCTTTTTTCAAAAACATCGGCACCCCTAGAATCACTCGTTACATCGTCGACCATTATCGCCGCCATTTTGGTAAATATTAGAATCCCGATCCGGAAGATTATTAATAAAGCAAAAGTCAAGTTTGAAATTGAAACTGACAATAGTCTAGATAAAGATAATTCTCAAAAAGATTTGCCTACGTATATCGCCTTTGTAAGATAAAAGGGAACAGAGATGGAGAGATTTATTAAAATGATTAAGAGAAATTATAATATCTTTATTAATAATTGAAAATTTTATAAATTAAAATGCATTAGAAGGTTAGCAGAGCGGAATTGTTCAATAGACTTCTGACTTATAATAAATTACTTACATAATACACGGAGGGGTCATGTTGGCTGGAGATGGCCACACAAATGCCCCAGAGGTATTACTTTTCTGCCAGAGCTCTACTCCTATTATGTGGTGGGAAGCATTCAACTAATGTTAGTTTAAAAAAAACTGAAACGTTTTAGCGTTCTTACGAGTTGTTCTAAACATGGTGAATAAATATTCAGTAAAAAGTTGTCATTCTCTTCGTGGGCACTTTTTACGCAGGAGCTCGACCTGACGATAGGCCACATGGGCTTGAGAACTGTTTTAAGAAGAGGTTAACTTAGTAAAAGATACGATAATTTGAATATTTTTTTACGAATCCCGTTACTCAAAAGAACAAGCGTATTTCATGATTCTACCTATTTCATTTCTAATTTGCTAACTGTCAGCTGGGAGGAATAAGACCGAAATTAGAACTCATCTAATTGAAGGAACAAATTTCTCATTTTTTGAAGAGGATTCACCAGAGAATTTCTCGTCGTTCACAACAGTCCGCCACTTTCAGTACGACTTTGTGCAATTCCTGTCAGGAGTGTACTGATCGAAAGTGTAACTCTAAAAGGTTTTTCTTGACTTTTTAACAGGCACAAACTTCGAGCAACCAGAGTGCAAAGGAGTTTTAACGGTTCATTGATTCAACTTCAAAATTTTTCAAGGACGAAGACAAATTTGAAAGTCTAGTACAGCGTAGATTAATTATAAATAATTTCAATAATTATTTATATCCTTGTTGTATTTATTATAGAATGTAGATTTATTAAAAACAGACATGCAATAACAAATTATTTTGCGAGAAAATCAGGTTGTAAATTTTATATTTAGAAAGTTGGATAAATGCTTATTGGCATATATACAAAATATAAAAAAATATATTTTTGTTCTGTTTTTTGATGAATCTAGATTTGCTTTCCAAATAATTAAAGTCAGGTCTTTCTTAATCTGATTAAGATGATAGCTGTAGATAAACCATTAGGTAATTAATCAATCTTGAAGTGATTGCAATTCTGATCGTTAACACGATGCTATTTTGCATTTAAAATTGCGTGGTTTTTTTATTCACTCCTAGTACAAAAATGAGATAAAACAGCTCAATAAGTTTTCTGTTTTCTTTTCGAAGTCATTGGCATTTTTAGTAATTTTTGAAATAGATATAGGGATTGCTAGTTAAAATGTTGCCAGTGGTGTTTCATTAATAATGGTGTCATTAGCTTTTAAGTTTAAAAAAAACCTTTAGAAGTAGATGGGGCCTGTTGCCGCGTTGCTGAGCTGCTGCGATAGCCGCTGCTTGTGCCTGCTGCTGCTGGGGGCTGATCCTTGTCATTCCCTCGGTACCGACTCTCTTCTGTAGATTCAATAGAGCTGCTGCTTCCTCCCTTCTTCTCGAGGGTGGTTCGCCCATCGGCCCTCGCCATGAGCCGACACGTTTCCAAGTCTCCCCGAGGCTGCTGCCCTCCATCTGGAGGATATCATACTGACACGGTGATGCGGCTGGAAAGACCCGCTGTCGTCCGGACGGCACCCCCTCCAGGTTACAACCCCCCGGGGTGGTCGGGGGAGGCGCAAGCGCCACCCTTTAGCCGGCCGCACGTCCAAAACATCATTTTATTATAAACCTTTCTGAATGTATAAAAAAAGAAACTTCGCATTGCATCGGCTGACAAGCCAAAAACTGCCGACTTAATATTCCAAGTTAGATAGTAATCAGCTAATACGAAATTTCTTTGTCAAATTGAAACCTGAGCAAACAAATTCAGCCTCAACATAAACATAGTTTATGCGTCATGAGTTTGCTTAAAATGACAAATCTATTAGAAACTTGACGACAGCACGTCAACACCATTAGCTAATCACTCATACACTAATTGAATGGAATTTCAACCGGCCAAATTTTGTCAATTTGCCTTATAAATGACAAGCTTTTTGACGTTTAATATTTAATGTTTTTCAACTTCGTGATTTTGACACAAAACAAGATTGATATAAACTAACTTTTGTACCTGTTTTTAATATATAGGGTGTCCCAGTTCCTTCTGACGAAACTCAGGGAATCGATTCTACTTTTCGTTTGGAGCAAAAAATGCACAGGAGAAAATTTTCGGAAAGTTCTCTATTTTGAAGATATTCATCAATTTAGGTTTTTTTCAACTTTTCACTACCTTACCACATAAAAACGCTTACAACTTCCAAAATGTTGAGACTACAACAAATGCATTTGAAAGAACGCTAAATTTGCGTTTCAATTTGCAATAATCTGATTGATATAAAATGTTCGCCAATATCAGCTGGAACATGTCAAAATTACAAAATTTAAAATGTCGGTCATGATTGCACGTTCTACGGGGGTTACAAAAAAATACCTACAACTTGTCAAATTTCAAAAAAACTTTTTAATCTAATATGCTTTACGTTGATATATGCAGGTTTTTAAATAACGTTCTACTAGAGTTGAAAAATAACAATTGAATGTTCGAAAACGTGAGCTAAGGTAAATTTGAAGGGGGGTAGAAATAAATCAATTAGAACTCGCTTTGTAAAATAATATTAATATTAATTAATATTAAATTCACTAATTTCGTGGTCCACTTGACCAATTAATATATTAATTAATATTATTATCTTTCAGTAACACACCATACCTGATACATTCTGTGATGATGATTGTTTCAACTTCGATATCATCCAGCATTTTTCATTCAACCGAGCAAACAAGGGTCATTTTTATTTTACAAAGCGAGTTCTAATTGATCTCAGTTGAAGCGATATTTCCTCTATGGCTGAAGACAGGAAACATTTTCTCTTGCCAAAAAAAAAAAGAAAAGTTCTTCAGTCTTTTCTGCTGCTTTATAGAATCTATGCACACCTAGAGGATGGCCATTGGGTCTGCAGTGCCCAGTCAATTACCTAATTGGGCTAAAAAGATTATTTCAATTTATATGCCACATTAATAAATTTACTTTTTAATGTACTAAATTTAAATTACTGACTTATATAAATCAAATCATACATGCGTGTACAGTTTAGGGTTAGATGTTGGACACTTACATAAGAGTAAGTGTTATGTCAAGCTTGCATGACCTTCTTAATTGGGTAAGAATGAACCCCCCCTTCTATTAGTCTCCTCCGAGGGGCGATAATGCTCATATGTGAGAGCTCATCTACTGGTTCACCAGTAGCCACTTCCTCAAAGAATTTAAAAAACTCAGATATTAAAAAAAAAAATCTGCAGCAAAGTTTTCTTCCTTCTCCTTTTGGACCTTAACTCTGCACCAAGTAATCAGAATGTATTTATGCCTAGAACCAATTAAAAATAAGCAAATTTGTAATTTAAGCACTGCCAAAATTACAAGCATACCGGATCGCATTGCAATCATGAACTTCAGTGTGACAAATGTGCAGGGTTCATTGGAGTGAAACTTGTACCAAATTGAAAGAGACAAAGAAACTCCAGCTGTGCGCTCTCTTTCTTTGTTACGGAAATCCAGCCAACTAGAATGCATCACAAAGAATTACAACAGCTATGAAGACAGGATTCATACAAGGCAGCAGTCTAGTTACTCCACCACGACGCAAGAAAGCTCTGATCACATTTGACAAACCAGCATTAGCTATGCCAAAGGTCTATGTAGGTGCAGGTTCTTGCAACTAGGACAATTAAAACCACACGGCAAAGCTGCGGAGGCTAATTAATAACCTGGAGCTGGCCAATGAAGGATTTAGACCTCCTTAGCGATACCCATTGTGCCTTAACTGCTCCATTGTAAGTTTTCTTAATGTGAGCCTTCCACACCGCCACCATGGAGTCAGCACCTAATTGTATGGGGGTACACATTACACCATAATTATAAACAATATTTAATGTTTACCGTTCCCCTTAAAAATCAGAAAGGGGATCCAATAACCTCCTCTTAAATCCAAAAACTGTCTTAATGTTTGGTACCATACATACTCGTTCCCTGTACATTCTTATCTAATGAATAATTATTTTGACTGCATATATACACAGTTTATTTTTTTTAAATCTAAATTGTGTTGTTAATTTTAAAAATATTGTCTAGAAAAACAGAGAATATCATCTCTGATTTCGATGGGATCTGACATCTGTTGAAGGTACTGGGCTAGAGAATATTTCTTCACTGGAGAAAAACCAGTGAATGATGGTGAACCTGACAGTTTGGATTTATCAAGGATTTTTAATTCTTTGTTCGTTATGTAATGCGTCAATTTTAATAAGTGGGCATCACTGGAAAAAAACCCAGAGGGTCAAGATAAATCTCACAGTTTGGAAAATTTTTTAATAATTGCTGTGTTGAAAATTTGAATTTATAGATAAATAGTTTTATTTTATTTTTTTCCATTGAATTGTGTTAAGTAAATTTTAACAAGACTTTATAGAAAAATAGACTCTTCAGACTCTACGATTTCAAAGTCGTCTGTTAATGGCACTGGGCTAAAGAATATTTCACCACTGAAGAAGAACCAGCCAATCATAGTGAACTGCACAGTTTGGAATGTTTTCTCTTAATTTTTTTTTTTAAACTTTTTGTTCGTTATGTAATGTGTCAATTTTAATAAGTGGGCATCACTGGAAAAAAACCCAGAGGGTCAAGATAAATCTCACAGTTTGGAAAATTTTGTAATAATTACTGTGTTGAAAATTTGAATTTATAGATAAATAGTTTTATTTTATTTTTTTCCATTGAATTGGGTTAAGTAAATTTTAACAAGACTTTACAGAAAAATAGACTCTTCAGACTCTACGATTTCAAAGTCGTCTGTTAATGGCACTGGGCTAAAGAATATTTCACCACTGAACAAGAACCAGCCAAAGTGAATTGCACAGTTTGGAATGTTTTCTTCCTAAATTTTGTTTTAACTTTTGGAATTTTAGATCCAAACGTCTGTAAATATTCTTCAGATTTGACAGGGCGAATTTTAACTTTTTGATCTAAATGCAATGTCAATTTTAATACAAGGGAGAGAATCATCACCGGAGGAGAACTGGAAAAACCAGATAAAATCTTGCAGTTTGGAACGGTTTGTTATATTATTGTATTAACTTTTGATTTTAAAGATAAATAATTACGTTAGAAGCATAAAATTTTATCATACCCTGTAGAATCTCACTTAATTCCATAAATTAACATCTTGTACCCAAACATACATAATTTTTTATAGTAATTTTGTTTTAACCTGGAAATGTTTCTATAAACACATATGCTAGAGAGAGAAATAAGTAGTGCATATTAATTACTTTTTATCCATAAACAACGTTGAAAAGAAAGGGATGGAAGGAATGGAAGGAAATGGACGGGAAATAGAATAAGAAAATGTTATGATAAACAAAATTTATAACGAGAAATTTATTATTATTAAAACATATATATCTAATTACATAAATTTATAAGTAATAGTATTAAATAACACCCACGGATTATCGCCTTCGAATAGATAGCTTAATGATACTTCAACGTGTTACATACAACTTTTCAGTTATAACAAAATTTCACGATATGGAATTTTATTATAACTCTTTAATTTGTTATTTATATTTTCTTTTGACACCCATTCTCCTAACAATCTCAGTTTTGCACATAAAAGGCACTTAAATATTTAAATGTAAATGAAAATGAAATGTAAAAAATATATATATTGCGTTTTTCTTGTCGTTAAAATGAGTGCAAATGAGTCGTTATCTATTTCTTTTTAATTCTCTCAGCTAGACTAGTGAAAACAATTTTGTGAATCTGAAATAAACTTAAAACTTTTAACAAAGAGGAAAAAAAAACATAATGCACAAAAATTATAACACTATTTACATTCATTAAATTCATACCATTCATCAAAAATGTGATATAATAAATACATTATTTAAAAAAAAGTATCTCTTTTTTAATTCTTTGTATTCTTAATTCCACAATATGTTACAAATATATCCAGCAAAAGGCAAACCCTCTTGAAATATTTTCTTTTTCTTTTAAATATGTTTTAAAAATTTTTTAGTCATTTAAATTTTATTTTGCAATTTACAATAATTGTTACAAGCTCAACTGAGTGTTATATACACTACAAGCATTTCATCTATTAACAAAAAGAAATTAAAATTCAAAATTATTATTTTCTGATTTAAAAATGAAGAGAAAAAAAAAAAGGTGAAAATCGGGATAATCTAAGTTGTACAGAATAAGTCAGAAACACCAAGTTAAATTTTGAGTAATGACACGAGACACCCATTTAAAAATCTATTTGAAATTTATTGTTAATTTGTTGCTTAAATCAATATCCAGGAGATTTCATAATAGAAAAAAATCTGATAAACACCAAGTACAAAGGTTAACTATTTTCTTTTGACATTTTATTTTCTACTTTGACTAAGTTTGTTTGATTCAGCTGAAACTCAGTTTAGATGGGAAAATTTTCGACCCAAGTTTCATTTCGTTAAAACTCAGTCTTTCTTACCACCAGGATGAAAATGATAGAAACGGCCATTTTATAATAATTGTCGACGCAATTCAAAAAGTACATTTCAGCCGATGCTGAAAACAAATTTAAAAAAAGAAAAAAAAATTCTGATAAATTAATTTGAATGAGTTAGCGACTTTCTAGAAACAAAAAATAATAAAACAAAATAATAATAAACAAACAAATTACAAGAAAGATTACATGCGAGTAATTTCATTTATGAAAGATTCCTTCGTGATTTCACAGAACGACTAAACAATTTTCTCTGTCATACTCATGTTTGTGCCAAAACACACTTAAGACAGCAAATCTGGAACAAAAACGTACAACCGTTGAAAAATAAAATATAAATAAACTTTATGATAAACTTACCGTTAACTGTGTGCGGTTCTTTCTTTTCCTGGAATTGCGGGATAAACTGAGGCTGTTCAGAAGGTAACTTTCCACTTCCGCCATTCTCAAGATCCAGGATCTGACCCACTCGCTCTTCTCCCAGATTGACAATCAATGAGTTTGCCACATTATTCTGGGCCCTGAAAACCAATATAATTCCCTTTCATGTATGTATAAATAATATATTATAAACAAAGAAAAAAATAGAAATAGACCTATCTATCTAATAAACTACACTATAACGAACTAATTCTAAAATTTTGCTTGTAATGTATAATATAGGTTTTAAATTGTTACATATATAGAAAGACTAAAAATATATCCCTAAGTCCTAAATATAATTCCAAACATATATGGACATGCTAATAATAAGAAAAATATCCTCCATATATTAAAATTTGGTTAAACTTGTTTCAATCTCTTCTCATGCACAAACTATCTTGTGAATTCTATTAAATGATATATAATAAATCAATTTACAACTTACATGAAGACTTGAGATTTTTTTGTACACAGAGAGGATGAGACAAAAGAAAACTCACATTTTTTTTTAAGAGTTTTAAAAGTTTACTTTTACATTCTCAACAATCTGTACAATGATGTACACAATAACAACAAAAATCAATAAAAAAAGAAACAAAAGAATCAAGGTTTTGTTTACATAAAAATATAGTGTTTTATAAGCGCTCACAGGTTTAACCCTTTTTTCAGCTAATTTACCTTTCTTTGAGCGTAAAATTTACTTACAATAAATCAGTAAAAATCTATAAAACATTTCTTAGTTGGACAGAATATTGAAATAATTGTTCAATTTTGAATAACTTTGCATAATTAAAAAATCATACACTGGGAAATTTAAAATTAAAGACTCAATAACATTTTGTATATGACAAATAGACAAAACATCTATTAAACATTTAATGATTTGATTTTTTTAAATTACTGCACTGTTCATTTCCTTTTGATTTTTTTTAAAAGATGGCTTCATGCCTTGTACACACTTAGCTGTTTAATTTCCTTAGAATGAGTCAAAATGCTGGTCGGAGACATAGTTTTTTTAATGATCATTATGATACAAGTCTCAAAGTTTTTTAAAATTAAATAAAAAGATGACCTTTTAAGATAGCTGTGTTGAGTTGTAACAGGACAATAAAAATCAATTTCTTATTCAAAAATCTATTCTTATTCTATTGCATCATGTGTGACAGCACCATACCATACACTGCCACAAGGAGCTTGCTTCCTGCTGCAACAGGTCACTTTATGTCTGGGCTGGGGCCATTTTGAATTTTTGATCTGAATTGTCAATTTTAGTAAGTTTTTTTGTTTAAAATCAAAGAATATTGGGTTATGTCTAAGTATATGATGTCCATTGATGGTCCTGGACTAGAGAATATTTCACTTCTGGAGAAGGACAAGGCAGTGATGGTGAATTTGACAGTTTGGAATGTTTTAGTTCTAATCTTGCGTTAATTTTGATTAGATTGGTCTGCTCAACAATTCTAGTGCATGCTGGGACCATTTGACTTTTTTGATCGGGATATGTTGAGATAATTTTAATAAAATTTTGTTGAGCACTAGATGTCTAGGGATGCAATTTATGTTGATGGCACTGGACGTAGAATATTTCACCAGTGAAGAAGAAGACCGAAGACAGATCCAACAGTGCTCACTTATTTTTTATTACTGAATGCAGTGCAAATGCTTTCATATTCATACAATATGCATGCATGAATTATCAGTTTTGAAGCCTGAAAGAAAATATTTTATAATTTACAGTGAACTGGACAAGTTGCGTTTCCCTTTATGGACTGAAACATTCATCTTGGCATTACGTGATGTATACACTTAATCCTCCTATGTAAATAGAAATGTAGATTAACGTTATTACAACAAAAACTGTATGAACTTTACTGGTTATCTGGTATATTATGCACTGTTCCTCGAATTTTGCTCAAATTTCATTTATTGAGATAAAATTTACCATACAAAGGTACTAAATTATTGAATGTAATGTATTTTATTAAAATTTTTTTCATGGCTTAATTTAAGGGATTTAATTAATAGTTCAGACTTATTAGGATTATTGTTCATAGGCGAATTCTGAAATTCCAATGTTAGTACTATTAAATGCACTAATTTTGTGGTCCGCTTGACCAATTAATATATTACAATTAATTAAGGTTTTTTTTTTAGTTGAGATAAAAAAGTCAACGGCACGAGCGGGATTCAAACCCACGATCTTCAGCTAGATACACCGCTGCTATACCACTTGAGCTATCGTGACCTCGATCCACTCGGACACTAACTTCCCATCTCAACCCCACCTTTTGAAAAGTTCAAAAGGATTTGTTCAAAAGGTGGGGTTGAGATGGGAAGTTAGTGTCCGAGTGGATCAAGGTCAGGATAGCTCAAGTGGTAGAGTAGCGGCGTATCTAGCCAAGATCGTGGGTTCGAATCCTGCTCGTGACACTGACTTTTTTTATCTAAACTAAAAACCTTAATTAGTTAGTGCTATTGTTTACTGTGCTCATTTTATTTCCATTTCATTATTTTAATTTTAGTTTATTTATTTTTTAAAAAGGAAACGCCCAAAACATGATATAAATAATCCTATTCCTTCAACTTCTTAAGCTTTTAGCAAAAGGCCATTGACTCTAGGTAATTCATCTATTTTTACATTTTGACGTTTGCTTTATATGATGTTCATATATATTTTTTCATTTCTCCGTCAAAACAAAATTTCGCAATTTTTTATTACAAGATACTGATGAGGAAGAAAATCTAGAAGATGAAGAAGAAACTAATTTTCTGCTTGATAGTGAGGAGGAAGGGTTTTTATGAGGAGAGAAGACCGAGAAAAACAAGGCGAAAAAGCGGAACAACACTCATGAAGCTGTACAGAGGCATCTCAGTTACCAAATTTACCTTTCGGGACGGCTATAAGAAAATGGAACTTTGTAAAACCTCAGCATGACCCCATTACATTTGTAGAAAACTTTTCAAATTTTGCCGGCGGTCTATTAGAATCAAATGATTTTTTTTTCTTTTTAGAGGATTTTCAAAATCAACTGTTAATTGATACAAATAAATATACCAAACATTTAACTTTAAAAGAAACAATTAAACCTAAATGTGTGATAAAACATGGGTACCGTTCATAAAAAAAGCAATTTTTATTTTTCATAGGTTTATTATGGGTATATCTTTAACACGCATGAGTGATTATTGGTTCATAGACAAAGTATTTTTCATTGTGAATGTTGTTTGAACCGCTACGTAGCCTAGCCCCAATGTGTGTGTTGCTTACAGGGGCTGAAGAGGCAACCTGAGGAACAAAAATTTTCATGTGGACGGATGATGGAGATCACCTCATGGCATTTTTTACTAGAAGTAAGTTAGAAATTTTTTTTGAAATTTTTTTTTTTCAGTTAACCATCTATTATATATATATTATGCAGGGTGGGCGACCAAGACCCGAGGGGTTAAATGCCTGGGTAGACTCGTACCCCATCCTTAAAACCATCTATTATTTGAAACACTAAAAAAAATGTTCCGTCAGATATCTGATAAAAAAAGCAGATTTCTTCCAGAGAGAAATGGCAATATGCCACCATGTTTAAAGTGTTAAACAATTTATAAACCGCTTAATTTTTTAAATATATTCTCAGCGATATAAATAAATAATTTAGACCTTCACTAAATCCACAAAGCGTAAATATCAGAATTCAACTGTGAAACTCAATAAAATGGACAATGAATTCAGACAGCCACAGGATGTCATAGCCTAGGTGTGTACTTGGCTTAAGATTTTAATACATTTAAATTGTATTATTAACCAATTTGTTAGAATAATATCAAAGTGTGACAGAAGTCTGTTTTCCAATACAATAAAGAGTAATCTATAGATAATTTTGCAAACATTCATGAGTTACCATTAAAATGGTGTTATATTAAGTTTTGAATGTTTTGTAGACACAGAAAAAAATTGAGTGTTCAACGTGGCCATGTTAAAGCCATCTGTCAATATTTTTTTATTACAAATTATAACAGCAGGGAACACCCTCGACGCAACACAAGCGACTTGACCCGAAACCATACGAAGCAAATCCAATGTCCAATTTGCAATAAGATTGAACTACCCCCTGGCCTGATGCCACGCAACGCTACCCTACTCTATGCTGTGCGATGCAACCAAGTTCCCCACTGTCCAGATTTTTGTCGAGTAGCATTGAGTACTCTTTTTTTTTGTAGTTTATTTCAAACTGTATGTATTTTCGTTATATTAATTACAATACGTTTATTTTAATGTAAACAAATTAAACAAGATCAAAAATTCATGAGTGTTTATACAAATTTTTTAATTATGATGGTTTGTAAGAAAATTTATCAAAACACCAGAATACCAGAATTGTTAGAATGAATTTAACAAACAATTTATTACATGGTTTTACTTATAATAAAGCATTAAGAGCAAAAGAGGCGTTGCGATTGTCATACATGTCATGTTGCATTGCGTCGGGTGTGTTCCCAGCTCGATTTTGTTGCATGCTAATAATTTTGTCTGAATAATTTTGAAACGATTCAAAGAATCTACCAATTTCCAAGGATTTAAATCTTAGGTTTTTCCAAATACTAAGTGCAAAAACTGTCATAGATTTTAGAAAATATATCAAGAAATAGATGAAAAATATTTAAAAATTATGCTGAACTACGAGTAAAACTTTTTACCCTTTCAAATAAAGACTTGAAATTATATTGTTACAATAATGAAAAGCTTATTGTCAATAATTATTTCATTTTTTCTATTAAAATCCATTTTTTTTAAACGTATGATCAGAAAGAAACAATTTAAAATCTAAAACACACAGTTATTACTTATAACAATTGTAATTTATATAATAGAATAACATTAACAGTTAAACAGCGCAAAACTGTATTAATCAATATGATTTTTTGTCCTAGCAGTACACAGCACCAGTGAAACCATTTACACGATAATCGCAGTCTCTAGAAAAGAAATTGTGACTTACACAGAATTGTATGAGCCGTTGAGGTGGTGACCGTTGTGCCTGTTGTTCTGTTGTGAATTTGTTGTATTCGCATCTGTATGGCTTCTCTCAGAGTTGATAAACTGATTCGTCTCCGAGCCTACGCCTTCAGGGGATTTTTTGCCATCTTCTGGAGGACTATTGTCTTCGTCTTCACCATCCTTACAAATAAATAAAAAGTTTATATTATTTTTGTAAATTTAATTTTTTTTTGGGTCTTACTTTTGAGGAAGCTGTGTTCGAAGTCATACTCCCTTTACCCCTTGTTCGCAGCATGATTGCTTCGACTCTTTTTCTTCTCGCTTGTCTATCTTCCTCTTCTTTTTTCAGTCTCAATTCCATTTCAATTCTTAACCTGTAATCAACATTAAAGTTTAATAATAAAAAAATAAACAAAATTTATGTTTAAAAAAAAAAATACTTTTCAGCTTCTTCTTTAGCTTTTTTATCAGCTTCTTCTTTTTCTAATTTTAGTTTAAGTTCTTCCTCTTTTCGCTTCTTTTCTTCCTCATCACGCTTTCTTGCTTCCTAAAATGTTTAGGGTTTTCAATTAAATAATAATTCAATTATTTTAGTAATTATAATGTACAAAAAATACTTACTTCAATAGCTTGTTGCAATCTAAGCTCTTCAGCTTTTCTAGCTTCTTCGAGAAGTCTGAGCTGTTCTTCTTCCATTCTCTTCTGTTCTTCTTCTTCTTTTCTAAGCCGTTCCTCTTCAGCAAGCCTTTCAGCCTCCTGAACAATAAATAATAAGAATTTTCTTTTAAATAAAAATGTTTTAACAGTACGTACGAGTCGTTGCCGTTCAAGCTCTGCTTCTCTTTCAGCTTGTTCTCTCGCCTGCCGTCTTCTTTCGGCCAAAGCCGCCTTCGCTGCTTCTTCAGTCGTAATGCGCACTTTCGCATTCATCGAGGCTGAAACAGACAGAATGTAAATAACATGGAATATTGTGAATAAGTTAGTACATACCAGTCATGTCCGCCTCAGCCAGATCGTTATTTTCACTGGCTTTTTCTGCTTCTTTGGGAGGCTGTTTAACCAGGTCTTGCGGTACAGAAACTACTTCAGGCTGCGACGGGGCTTGAGGTTCTGGCTGAGTACTGTGCGCCTGTTGTACTTTTTCTTCGTTATCGTTTTTCTTAAGCTCGATTAGTTCAGCCTTTGTTTCTGTTTCTACTACTTCTTTTGTATTTGTAATGACTTCTGTCTTGTTCTATACAAACGATTTTCATTAATTTTAAAGCACACTTTTATTTCGCTAATACTACTCACATCTTCTACTTTGACTAATTGTTCCGACAAGGTTGAACTCGTTAATGTTGTAGGCATGTGCGTTCCTTCTACTTCCACAATCGGAGATTGTAACGGGGTCGTAGATTTAGGTGTTGTTGATGCTGAGCTCTAAGCATTGAAGATTTACATATATATATTTTTTTTAAATTCAGGGTACTAATTTAAGATTTAATGCCAAATTTTAATCCCTACCTTTGTCGATTTAGGTTTTTCAGACATTTTTTTCGGAGGTGTTTCAACCTTCGATGTTAGGGGTTTCTTAGATGAATGTACTTTTGGTATTGGAGGCTTATCTGTACCCCCGACACCGGGTGATTTGATTCGATCTAAACCTGTTATAAGAAAATAAAATTATACAAAGATAAGAACACTACATGGCTGTGTAAAATTTGATTAATCAATTAATGATTACTGTCTACGAGGATTTATGGAATTTTCTAAACATAGCCAAAAATACAATGCGGGAATCCAAAATATCTACCAAAAATACAATCAACATACACAAAACAATTTCTTTTTGTAATTTTAGACCGGAGCGTGTATTTGAATAATCCTATCAATTAATTCAAAATTTCAATCTTTTTTTTTAAATCCTTGAAATAGTGTTGTTTTCGATAACTCACTTTTGTCAGAAGTGACTCCTGTCACAGCTATGCTAACCGGCCTAGGTCGCCTAGGTGTCATCGCTGACCTGTTTCGAAGGCTTGCTGACGCTGATGACAGATTGCTCGTTATGCTGTGCTGCGACATGGAACTCTGAGGCCTTGAGGGTGTCAACTCGCCACTTCGCACACCTACGGGGAACGGGGTAGGGACAAACAAAAAATATACTAAGGGCTGCTAATCAAGTACAGGAACTTAAAAGCTACAATGAGTTTTACACGTTCAAAATTACTGGAATGGTTCAATCAATATATTTCTTATTGAATATTATTAAAAACATGCTAAGACTTTTTATTTTCTTGTTAAAAACTTTTTAAAAAATAAACTTTTAGTTATCTTAATAATGTTTGAATTTTTTTGGCTTAAATGTTAAAAGTAGTATGATTTTGTATCCACCATAGTGTGCATGGCATCCACAAGATTAATAAAAGGACAACCAAAACCAGTGGTTAATTATTATAAAAGTAAGAACTAGAAACTTCAATTCAACAGTTTATGTCTTGAAAAAGAAAATATTTATAATAAGAGGGAAAATTATTCAATTCCTTTGACACGAGTCAAAATGACTTCTTTCCAAGAAAATTTAATTTAATAAGCACAGTCAAATTGTTTAAGTAAATTTTGAATAAACATGTGGAAAAACCAGTAATGCTCAAATTTCACCTGACCTAGTTTTTATTGTTATATTGTTTTGTATTTGTGTTATACAAAACAATTTTTAAAAAATCTTCATTCGTGTTAATGATCTTTCACCATTTTTACTACTGAGAAAATTTGTAGGCAGTCAAAATATGCTGATTGAACCAGAAAACAAAAAATACAGGAAGGACAATAAATTTAGACAATTCAATTTATGGCATAGAAATAATAAAGGTTTCAATTTATGTGCTGGGTGATCACACGTGACAATAGTGTTGTTGTAAAAAAAAAAAAAATAATAATAATAATAAATAAATTTCACCAGAAAAATAACAAAATAATTAAATATAAATACAAAATAAAATAAAAAACCTTTCCTTTTATGAAGTTAATTTATCTTTTGCTTTGTTCTTGTGTTATATCAAATGAAATGAACAACCTTTCTTATCATTAATAACATTAAGGACCCTTCTACCAGTAACGAGTTATCAATGATCAATATTATAAGTTACATATATATTTATTATGTGTAAACCTTACCCAGGATGTGATGAACCTCCACCAAGATGGTCAAGCATACAAAAATATTTCCTCTTTACTTACAATTCGTCGTAGGACCAATCCAGAACCTTGCAGCAGAGAAATCATGATAAGCCGTGCAAAAGCGCAAAGTAAAATGTACAGAGGAGGAAAACAATAGAGAGAAAAGAAAAAGCGAGTGAGAAAGAAACTACAAGTTGAATATGATCATGCAATTGTGAAAAAAAAATCCCTTATAATTTGTTTTAAAGGTATTTTTTTAATTTTTGTAAATGTAAAATGGATAAATAAAAGTAAAACTAAAAGAAAATATAAAATAAAACAACACATAGACACATCGCACTGACAACTTTTCTAGCTTTATAAATAGAAAGAAAGCAATAATTTACTGTAACTAGTTTTATTATTTTGTTAAATATTTATTTGACTCAAAGAATTTTGATGTACAATTTGCTATGAAGTATCACACATGCGATACATCTGTAACAACATTGTAAAAAAGTTGTTTTTGGAGTTTATTAAAGAATCTTTACAGTTAATTAATCAATCAACCACAGAAATGATAGGCACAGTAAAAAGGAGAATTAGTATGATTGATGTCATCTGTAATATATTTGTAGCCTAGAAGTTAGATGTATCACACCTGTTTGCATTCAATATGTCAAGTATCTTTAATAGACACTGACAGGCAAAAAATTCCAACCAACTATTTTTTTTTCATTTTCTCGATAAAAGAAAATTCTGCCCTTAATTTGTCTCAATTTTTTTTATCAATAAATATTTGTTTATGCTATGTTTTAAATTGGGAATATCAATTAGACATAAACACACAATCCAAAACAAGAATAAAGGATTTTTCAATGTCTAATTTTTATGGTATTTAAAATGTTTATTCAGTCTCATTTGAATTCTGAAGCAATAAACTGTTTAGTTTTCATCCTTGTTTCCTTAATTTCAATTTTTAAACTATCACAGTGCAATTTATAAGGGCCGCCCAAAGCCCTTCCACAAGCCACTAAAAGGAGGAGGAAGGAGACTTCCACTGGAAGAAGCCTGTTGGGTTTACGCTGGACTAGAGGCGACACGTTTGATTTTTCTGGCGAGAAAGCAGCAAAGATCAACCTATTTTTATTTAGCAAGAATCATCACGCAAGTTTTTCCATTTTAATTTGTTTTTCGTTGGAAAAGGATTTTTTTACCTTATAGTTTACAACAAAGAGTCAATTTTTCGTTTGTTTAATCAACACAAAGTCTGTCTTGCAGTTTGTTTATTTTATTTTATTAATAATAATAATATTTAGTCAATATAAGAATTGTTTCTGTATTTCAATATAAAAAAATAATAATATCCAGTCAGTTTCCTTCACAAAATTGTCTAATTGTTAATTCCAAACTGAGACCTTATGGTATGGTATGGTATGGTAGAAAAGGATACTAGGAAGCGGGGTTTGCACTCCCCGGGCACTGCAGCCTTCTGGCTTATTGTACCTTCCCAGTTCCCTAGTTTAGTCAATAGACTCAATCCTTCTTCTCAGAAGCATCAAGTCATTGACTGTTATTGCTGCAATTTGGTTCCCTGTGTCTTTTTCGTACGCTAGGTTAAACCTCCATTGAGCTGTTGCTTCGCATTCGAAGATGATATGAGTGGCTGTTTCCTCCTCCTCATTACATAATCTGCAAATGGGGTCATCGCTGTATATACCCATGTTGTGTAGATGTTTTCTCAGATACCAGTGACCGGTT